GGGCACCCCGGCTGGCCGAGGTACCGACCCGCGGCTTGGTCTGTTGTCCGCAAGGCCCTGCCAGAGGAGCGCTGGTCTTATACGCTGGAGAATAAACAGAGGCATACACAATGTGAATGAAATGTCTTGAAACATTTTCTCCGTAAAACTTAATCCGTTCTGATCGCAGTCATAGAGTGTCTAGAGAAGCCCTGGCGCCTCTGCGGTCCCACGGAAGAGGCAAGCTGAGATTTTCTCAGCACTGGGACCTTTTTACTTTGAGGAATGCTCCCATTTCAATGGGAGTATTGCTCCTGAAAGCATTCATTTTAAATAACGTTTCTAAATATGGAATTACTTTGGCAATATCCCTGTCATACGGGAAAGCAGGACCCACGTGTTTTTTCTCAACTGAATTACTTGTTTCCTTTCTGGTGAGCTGTGTTTGTATTACTAGACTCGAGGCGGGGGGCGGGGAGCATTATATCTGCTGTGTTACCAAAAATATAAAAAGAAACCCTGTGCTGGTATAACTGTAATGTGAGGCTCATGGGGAAAAGCGAGTTGTTTCTTTTCCAACCTCACCTACAGGTGTACTGGAGTAAAAAAACAAACCAAAACAAAAAACAAACCACCAAAAAACCCCAAAACAATAAACATTCTGATGTAAATGAATTACTGTTTTAGAGAACATGAGACAATGAGATGTTTAATTATGCAACTAATTGTTTGGCCTCTTAACGTTTTGGTGCCCTTTGTGTTTGCACACTGGGGCTACCTCAGAACCACAGCAGTTTCCTTTGGCGTGAGGGAGCTAGTTGTGATGTTTTGTTTTATTTTGCTTGTTTAGGTTGTGGAACTTTGGCAGTGCTGGAACAAAATGAAGCTGGGATTGTTCTGCTCAGGAGGTAACATGGGTTTCTGTTTTATTTTTGCAAGAGAAAAAGTTACTGTGTACCTCTAAGTACAAGACACAGCCCAAATATTTTGGGTTATTGTTAGTGATAAAAAGTATTGTGTCTATGCTATGATATCTACTGAATACATGTCTTTGTATTTATGTACAAATGAATGTATTCGTATTTATATACAAATGATAAGATTACACTGCGTAGATTCTGTTATAGAAAGTAATCAATTACACGTTTTCCGCAGTGTAAACCATTTTACAGAAAACTGGTAATGTAAATTAAATGGAGCCTCCCTGTCCTAGCTTGAAATGAGAGTTTAAGCTTTTTAGGAACAGTGCATTGTCACCTAAATTTATGCCCTTATGATTGACTTACATTGAAAATAGAGCAGGAAGCTGTGTAAAGTCATGGATGTCCTTCCTAGGAGATACAGTATTCTAAGGGAGAGGAATAGAGAGGAGAGAAATAATGAGAGGAGTTTGATTTGTGTTCTGGATTATTTGATTTGTGTTCTGGTTTATTACTGTTCACTTCTATGTTTCCAGTGACTCCACTTATTTTATGGTAGAAAGTCCTGTAACTTCCTGAGCCATAAGCTGTGTCATTTTCTCTATCGAAACATTCTGTGTGCATGCCTTTCCCTCATGATTACTGCAGAGTGCTGTGAAGTTTAACCTGAACTTAGCTGAACCATTAGTGAAAAGGGGGTAAATAAATTCATATTTACCATCAGATAACAGCAGGGTCATCGATAGTTGTTGCAGAGCAACTGATACATGGTATCAGATCCCATATGATGAATTGTTGGTGTGCTGAAAGCCCTTTTAAAGGAGTGTAGAGATCTTTAATATGTTCATGACTGTCTTTCTGTTGGTTTTTCATTGTGACTCAGCTTCCTAATGGTCTTGTGAATTGGACAGAGCTCTCCCCACACAAACAGTTTTATTTCTTTGTTTACCACAGTTCTTACAGACAAAGGGCTCCTACCTCTGTAGCAAGATCCTGGAGAAACCATAGATCACACTGAGACATGGTACCTCTGTCTCTATTTGCCTGGCAAGTTTGACTGAAATCAGATTTCATTGATGTGTGGAAGGTCTTTGGCTCATTTATGCTTTAACTTAATCAACCAATTCTGGCATGTAGTTGTAAAAGTTGACATTACAACCAGTAAGTTACTTGTGAGGAGATTTACTGGAAACTCAAATATATAAAAAGGCTGTTTAGAATGGTAAAGAGGATAATTTAAATAAATACTGTCTTTGCATGTAACTAGTCCAGACTTTTATCTCGTGCTTTCTCACGGACAAACATCTTCATTGTTCCAATTTAGTTTTGACTGGAATGATGGCCTGTTTGATGTGACCTGGAGTGAGAATAATGAACATGTGTTGATCACTTCTAGTGGAGATGGATCTCTGCAAATCTGGGATACAGCTAAAACGAAAGGTCCACTGCAAGTCTATAAAGAGCACACTCAGGAGGTAAACCAGGCAAACTTGAAAATTTGATGGACTATCTAATGTTTGAATTATTAAAAGATGTATTTGTGGACTTATAATCAAAAGTGGGTTTTGTTGTCTCTTTTTTAACTTTGTGTCCTTGGTTTGAATTTATAACTTAACATTATTTTGAATATAATGTTTGTTGTATTGTACGTATTCGTATGTACATTCATCCACCGTAGTAGGTGCCACGTAATTACATAAATCTAATGTATTCAGAAATAGCGTTTGTGGTTTCTTATAGGCTAAGTAATCATTGTGTTCCATGGAAGTACTGCAACCATTCTGTGATTTTTAGAGAGCATTATTGGATAGGTCTAAATCCTTGAGGATACCGAGTGATACACATTATGTAGATCCTTAGGACTTCTGCTGTACCCAGGAACTGCTTATCCTTTTCCATCCTAGCATCCGTGAGATCCTACTCAAATAACAGTAGTCAAATATTGGGACAGCATGTATTTTTTTTAGCCTTGGTTTGGTACTGTCGCATTTGATTTCTTAAAATCTCAGTTTCTTTATGCAGTGCAATATAGGTAGAGAAAAATGTTATATTCATGTTCATAAATGTATTTGCATATTTTTAAGGATATTTATGCTTTAGTATATTTATCTTCCTCCAAGTGATTTTTCTCCCTTTTTTTTTTTTTTCCCCTTCATGCTTTCCTTCTAACTCTCTGCTCCTGTCAAGTCTTTGAACCTTAGATGCAATCAATTTTAGCCTGGCTTACTGATGCTTTATCTAAATGACATAAATTTGAATAAAGTAACCTAGTGGATATGTAGTCAATAAAAAATGATGGAGGAAGTCAGTTTTGTATTCACAAAGACCTCAGAGATTTTTTCAGATACGAAACACAAAGCTAAAAGCTGAGTGACTGCGGTTACATGACAGTCTGTCTTCTGTACCTTATTTCTTTGTAGTTTTGTTACTTTGGTTTAATGCATATACTGTATAAATAAAGAATTTTGAGAGGTGCGTTTATAGTTGCGATCAGGATTTTATGATAGTGTTCAAAGGCTGATGGTAGTAAAAGAAAGATGTAGGCAAAGCATGATACTTTTTTTTTTTAATCTCTACATTTTCTCATTGAAATTCTGTCCATAAGTTTATTTTGGTTCTGCTACACCATCTGTTATCTGTGAAGTAAACATTTCTATGTCCAAGTCTTAGTTTAGCAGGTAACACGGGGAGGTCGATGCATTCAACCATGAGTTAGAAAGACAGTGTAGGAAACATGGGCTGAGTGTTTATTGTGAGATAGGAAAGGTTTGTATTGATTTTTTTTATAAACATGCATTAAGAGGATAGGTCTCAGAGGGAATATACCTAATAAGTCATGGTAAACGCTGCCAGACAGTGCTCTTTAAAATGATTGAGTACCTTCCTAATCCTTAATCCCTGTCTGACATTTCTAATGACAGTTTTGTCACTGTATTTTGTAATATTTCTAATGCAAGATTGACAGGGATCTGTTGCTTGTTTTCTAAACGAGATCATTGTCTGATCAATGTAGAATGTGCATTTTTTATTTAAAAGCTCGTCTTTATTATCAAAGGACAATGAGTTTTATTCCAGCACTAACCAACTGCTGAATCTCATTAATAAATTAGTCTAATTTACTTTGGTTTTGATGAAGTCTCACTGGAATGTGAGTCAATAGAATGCTCAAATTAAATTCCCTGTAAAGTGAGCCTGGACATTTATTTTGAACTATTTTGTATGGTTTTACACCTTTTTTTCCATTATCTTTTCATCTTTCCTGAGGCATTTCTTGCTGCTGTTTAGGCATAAACTAGTATTAATTTATTTTATAATTGAACGTAAAGCACTAAAAGATTACAACTGAGGTTTATGCTATTAGTCTTTCCCCGTTGCTCAACACAGCTTCTATTGAAGCATTTATAAATTTATGTTGGGTGATAGCATGAACACGAAAGGAGGATAAAAGTGAACCTTACTTGATTCTCCACACCTTCTTGTTTTCATTCTCTTCCAATTACCTGGACCAAATGGAAAATAGCTCTTGCTGTTTGTGAGCCTGTTGTCTGTTCTGTTTGTAATTCTTGCCTGAAGGAGAATTTGCCCAGGTCCCATTGCCTCCAGCGTAGCTGCAGAGTGCCGGGCAGTCCCAACCATGTCTGCCCTATGTACGCAGATCCGTGTCACAACACGTGTTTGACAGGTCTGTGTGCTGATAGCTTCCGAGCGAGCCGTAAACCATGTGTGCGCTTCACCGTATCTGTGCAGCAGATCTGATGCTTCCCAAATATGTGGGGCTAGGTGAATTGTGTGGCACAAGTGCATATTTCTCAGACGTAGTTCTTTCTGGAAAATCTTGTACATGAGTGTAAGAGACAAACACTTAAGCTGAGCTGACTTCACAGGGCTGTTGTGTCAGAGGCATGCTATGTACTGATACATTTGGGGTATTTCCAAACAGCAGCAGCTTAGGAGTTGAACACAGGCCATCATACAGATTCAGGGGGAAGGAGAGAGGCTAATGTTTGTGAGGAGTGCAGGAGCCACTTCAGAGAACCATAATGTCTTCCATTCTTAAAATATGGGCAGGTACTTGTGTGTCTTCTTTGCCATTATTTTAATAGGAGGAGTCAGGTTGAAAGGGAGGGTGTTTTAATGAGCTGTAGTACTGGTAGTTAGCTGGCAAAAGTAGAAAAACCAAGAGATAAAGGCATGATTTGGAAAAACAAACAAAAGAATTACCTCTTGGTTTGTTATTTGGCTTTTGTCAAGTACTGTCTGAGTGTCTCGTACGTTTGGACTATAAGATCCTCAAGGAAGGGAGCTAGCACAAAATGGTGCCAGAGCCATTTGCCTTTCAGTATATGGGAAGCAGGACGTTGTAAAACAAAAAAGGAAAGTTGCAGATAATGCATTTCATTTTTTTGTTGGCAGTGGTTGCCTTCCACTTATGGGAAAATAAGCAAATAGATGAAAACCAGCATATCATGTTCTTGAGACTTTCAGATTTGAAGCTATTTGAAGAATACATTAGAGCGATTCTTTTCACTGAAAAACCAGCACCAGCAGTGAAGGATGGAGTTAAAGTGTCCTCTGTCAGGGTGGGGACCAAAGTTAGAATAAACCATCAGAGAAGAGAGAGCTTATTTCAACTACACAGTGAAAAGCAATTTCTTAATAGCTGAAATGATTAGTCATGAGGGAAGTTGAGTTTTTAATTTTGTTTTCTTTGTCTGAGGGTATGAATGGTAAAAAAATTGTGTCATAGAACCTGGAAAAGATGAAAACCAGGAGTCTTTTATGGCATATATTTCTTATGGGAATTAGATATCATAAAAAAAACATTTATTGTTAATCAGCTAAAACCTCAGTCAACTCCTTAGTCAGCTCTGAAGAGAAGACAGCATTTGCATTGCTAGAAATTAGAAACTGTAGATATTTGAATAAAATTGGATCAGAGATAAGAAATCAGTCTAAATTGTGACTTTTTACAGTCATAGAAACTTCTAGTGGGTCTATGTGGATTTTGTTACAATTTTTTTTTGTTTGTTTTTTTTCCTTCCATTTTGGCCCATGTTTACTTTTTTGGATACTTTTCTGAGCCTATATATACCTTTAAGCCAGACTGACATGTTAAATTTAATTTTGGTCAGGTAAATAGCATTGGTTTTTAGCTGATTATTATGCAATCTGCACATCCAAGTCTCTTCCCTGAAACTTTGGCTGACTAGAGTCTTCAACTTGTATTCTAATGCTCTTTCTAAACTAGGCTGTTATATCATTTATAGGCATATAGTGTTGACTGGAGCCAAACTAGAGGAGAGCAGCTAGTGGTGTCTGGTTCATGGGATCAAACAGCCAAGCTGGTATGTTGGTTTTCTGTTGAAGGTGAAAAATGTGATTTGTTTTGGATCTGATAGTTCTTCGTGTTAAGAAACAGCATTGATTCGCTTTTCCTCTTTGTTTTTGCACTGGGTCTGAAATTCTGTTTTAACTGAGATGTTGCTTTATCCCTCAGTTGATAATCGGTTTAAGTATACAAATGCTTTTCATGATAACGTGGTAAGAACTAGTAAATTTAGTCCTCTCTGGATGTATAAAGCTTTTTTTATCTATGAAACCCTTTCCTTTCTTGTTGAATGTGTGCATCAACACTTTTCTTTTTACTTTATTCAGTGGGATCCAGCTGTGGGGAAGTCATTATGCACTTTTAAAGGCCATGAAGGGGTCATTTACAGCACTATATGGTCTCCACACATCCCAGGTTGTTTTGCATCTGCCTCAGGTAAACACGATGTTAGAGGGGTTCTTACAGCAGAAAAAACCCTTATGTGTTACTGGATTATTTCAGCACTTTGACCAGCAGATGGTAGTGTGTGTTGTACGTAAAAGTCGAAGAAGGGAAGCTAAACGTATTGCTGCAGCTGGATTTGTAGGTTCTGTTGAGATCTGTAAATCATCCTCTTGGCTATTTAAACAGAGATCAGCAGTTTTCTAGCAGTCACTTCAGTGACCTTGTGGCAATTTTTTCTGTTATTTTATGTAGCTGTCTTCCATTTACCTCACTCTGGTTATTGACCACTAAATCATGTTATATGCTTTATTTTGTGTTCTGGCTTACATTTTTGTTCCAATTATCTCAAGTGTCCGTAGACTGTTAGCTCTGTGAGAAATGTAGTTCCCATTGAACTGTTTTAAGTACTGCTGGAGATCTCTCTGCCTTGTTCTTTGGGAAAGGTAATAATCAATTTTACTTTTCTGCTTTGTCCAGTGCTATGAATCTTGCTGGTCAATACCATCATGACTGAGTTGCATGTACCTACCTAGAGGCAAAGAGAGACTGTATGGTGAGGTGGCAGTGTTTTCCAAACCCTGCTCCTGCTCCAGAGACACAAGGAGAGCCCTGGAGTGAGACCTGGAGCTTAACTGCTGACTAACTGGGCAAGGGGTGCAGTGAGCCATGGAGTTTGCTTGGGAAACAAAGGGTCAGTAAGGGTAAGCAAGTATAAATACGTTTTTCTGTTAATGAAGTTAGGGAGACAGTGAGTACACACAGATGCTGGTCTTCCCTGTTCCGTGGGAAGTTTGATGAAAAACTGCCTGTGGCTTTCATAAAATCTCAGTCTGGCTATTTCCATCTGCTTGCAGAGTTGAACTAGAATGACTTAACAAGTTACATGTATGCTGGTGCACGGATATTTGGAGATTGACTGGGGTAACACTTAGAGAGGTACCTATCTAATAGGATATGCTGAAATTTAGGGGATTGAGCCCTGTACACTGTATGAACAGTTCTGAAATGCTGCTATATACTACAGAATACTAGCTAAGTACCATTTGGTCAAAAGTAAGCTTACTAGTGGTTTTTGCAAATTCTAGGGGATGTTGTGATCTCTTTAAAGTCCTGCTCAGAAGCCTCCCCTCCATGGTAGTCTTACTCATACAAAACTTCTGACGTTCTAGATGAACAAAAGGGCTTCACTAGTCCAGCAAGTTATTTCAAATTTGATTCTCTAGGCTGTGAAGCCAAACTCTCTTCTAATACATTGCCATTTGAACCATTTTGGGAAACACTGATTGTTAGATGCTGTGTGTGATGGTACTTAAATTAGGTACAGCAACATGCAATTGATCTGTTCTTTGAGTGACTCAGTGGGTGCAGCTTTTGGAAGTTTTGACTAAAACTCTAGAGAGTTTTGTGAATTTTACGTTGACTCTTGAAAGTATGTACTGCTGAAGCCTCAAGCCAATTGCAGTCAGTTTTCACTGATTGGTAACTCCATAGATTTTATAGGAAAAACAACATCTGTAATATTTTTCTTTTGCAAGTACTACTCAGGTGTGAAATAAAAATCTTAAGAGTATAATGCTAGGTGTAAAATCATTAGGTAGGAGAAAATGAAGTCTTCAAAATGATGGTCAACTTTCTCATGGTTTCTGAAATAAAATATCTGGTGTGCTTCTAAATGAAGTAACTTCAAACCAAAGGTCTTGCATAGAAATCATGACATGCTGATGTGGAAAAGGTTCTTTGTTTGCTTTTGGCTTTAGTTTACATTGGAATTTTCCTATGGTTTGATTAGATTACTTTGCTACAGAAAATGCATATTGGGAGTTTTTTCTTTAGTCAGCAGAGCTGTGGGTAGTAGAATTACTCATGACCCTCTAGCTCTGGGTATAATTGCCATTTCCATATTATAAGAAAGGCATATGGGTTTATGTTCAGAGAGTTCACGTCACAGTTTAGTGACATTCTGCTCTGTCAGTCAGGATATGTGGTGAAAGTCAAGTGGAACTGTTCAGGAGGCTGGACGTCCTTATTTGAAACTTGCTATGATCCACATACTTTAGAAGGATGACAGAAAATTGTGGGACAGAAAGCTTAATTTCACTGATGACTGATCTTCTGTTGAGCTAAAGTTGGAGCTGGAGCAAAATTACAATCTCAACATGATGGTACTGTGTCGGACTTAACAGTGGTTCCCTTCTTTGATACTTGGTGGAAAGGCTGACCTGAAGTTTTGTGGTCTCTTCTTTTGCAACTTAGTGTTGCCTTGAAAATTAGTAACTGAAAGTGCGTCTGGAGGGAACCTTTTTGTACTTCCTTTCATCTCTCTTGTTTTGTTTTGTTTTTTAAAACTTTTTAAAGCAGTATCTTTTTAAAGGGTATTGTTAAGAGTATTGAAATGTTCCCTTTTTGAAGGAGGCTGTGTTGCGTTAGGATTGTAGTGTGCGTCTCTGTTCTTTCTCTCTCTTGCCCCTCCTGTCCCCTTTCTTTCATCCCACCTCACGCATACCTACTCACAACCATGTACTTACTCATCTCTTAATAGTATAAAGTCTTAGCACTTCAGCCCAGAAATGAACTGTTTCGTGTTACAGTATATTCAATTTTGCATGTATTGTAAAGTAAGTTAGTTATGTTGTTAACCATATATCGGAAAAAATGTTGGTCTTGAAATGCTTCCAATTTAACTAAATTTAAGTAAAGTAAATTTTAAATTTACACCCCCCCCCCCCATATTTTAAAGAAAATAAACAAGAGGGAAGTAGGTCTAGGTAGGAACCTTTTGCATGCCTCACCCCTGCTCTTTTTCTGCCTCTATTTGAATCCACATAGATGCCAGCAAAAGTTTAATTTCCAGTTAACTAATTACTTTGTGAACACTGAAAACAGAAAACCAAACACAACTGCAAGCCACAGTAAAATAGCTGCTCAGAAGGACCATTATGTGCTTAGATAGCTCTTGCCTGAAGCTAATAAGGTTAAATCTTTGCTTTTGGAATCTGACCTTTTCTCAAACTATTATAAGACTAGAAAATGAGTGAAGAAAATGAGAAATCTAAGATTGCAATATAAAGCAGTTGAAAAAGATTTTGATACTAAGTGTAGTTATTTTGCTTCATTAAGTCTCTAATCTGAATACATACAGGAAAACTAAGTTTGTCTGCAGTGGACAATAAAATGCAATTGAATTACAGAAGATAAATATGTCTGATGCTTCAGTTAAATTAGCTTTTATTCAGCATCTAATACACTTCCATTTAACATTTACAGGGATATGTGGGGTACTTTACAATGCTGTTGTCTTCATGCACAATCATTTGTACTCTCAAAAAGCAAGTAAATGGCTTATCTTTTTTTTTGTTTGAAATTGGGAGTTAATAGTAACAGAACAAACTGCTAATTCTTTGTATGTAAATAACTGCTGTTGTGATGCCAGTAACAATTTCTGAGCTGATAAGATAAGCAGGATATTCAGGTGTACGTGCAGCACCAAACCAGAGCCCTAGTAAACGTCTGCCTTACACTGAAAAAAACAGTGATATGGAAAATGTCACTAAAGGAGTGATACAAATGTTTAACAGCATCTTCTTGGCTGAAAGGGTTTAATGGGTCATTGTGTCATTTGCCCAGAAGGTCTCCCCGCCCCTCCGCCCCCGAGAGCAAATTGGTAAGAAGCACATAAAGTGCCAAATGCACACAACATTATAGCATATAGTCAAACGTAAATCAGTTCTACTAAATGATTCTCCATAACTGCAGAGCAATAAGCCTTGCATGGTCCTGTGGTTTATAAAGAAAACATCTTTCATAGTATCAACTGGTTTTATTGCCGTTTAAATTTAACAGTGGGAAAATCAATGAGTACCATTTTACCCTTATCTGCATAACTGTAGTATTCTTCAATATAGATATGACTCTGGCAAATGAAAATACAAATGTTTTGGATTCATCAAAACCCAGATTTAGAATGACTGCTAGCTTTTATCTTAGCTACTGGGACCTCAGTTTTAATGCTGCATTCATTTTTAAATCGTTACTACGCTCCTTAAGTTTACTAATCAGCACAGATACATAGTTTTCATAACATCTTAAGTCAGAATAAGGGAAAGAATTGTTTCTTAAATCTGTAAGGTAGTGTCTTATTCATCAGTATTTAGATTAATTAATGGAATTCTTTGCTCAAAGACTTATTTTTCAGACTGAAAGCCCAGGGCGAAAAATTTTCTTATACCACAACAAGGTGTGATAATTGTGAGACATTTTTATTATGTTGACAAAAGTGTTGGGGAGCTGTAGCTTTGCTGGTTTACAAATGAACTTGTAAATGCAGCCTCTACTCTTTGAAAGCCCTTGCATTCAGTGCTAGACTTTAAGGTTAAAATTAAAAAACATTGCTTATCTCCTTTTCTGTTTTATTGCCAGCCCTGACATAGTGAGTTGCTTTTAAAAAGTTTGTCTTCTTGCTAAAATTTGTCTTACTGACAAATGCATGTAGTTAAGGTGTTGTCAAGCTGTAGTTTCATAAATCAGGCTAGCATGTAGTCTTGGCACACCTTTCTTAGTTTCAGATTCAAATTGGGAAAAAAACCCTAAAAATTAACAGATTATTTTGCATGAAATAATGAACTGGAGAAGGGTTACATCTACTAAGAGGGTGGTTACTGAATTAGTTGGAAAGGAATAGCCTTGAGTTCAGCTCCTCAATAAAAAGGTGTTTTCCACGTGTAAGTTCCTGGACCAAGTTTGGGGTTGTCATGTCTTTGACTTCAGCTTTCTGAAGCTTTGGCTTATGTTCTTGCTTCAGAAGTAGCACAGGGTGAAACAAGGAGCTGTTGGGGAGTGGGGCTTGCAGACCCGTAATTCAGAAGATGTTTGTGTTTGTTCAGGTTCCTAAAAAACCTGAGGAAAATAATCTGTTCTGCTATTACAGTGCTTTGCCATGAATTCCAAAACACTTTACTAGAGGTTTATATTCTGTTAGTTTGTGTGTGGTGTGGGTCCACTCTGCTTCTTATGTGTTCTTTCCTGGTTATTTGATTGTTGAACGTGCTAGAAGAAATGTCATTGTGAACAAGGTTCAAGGTTTTGCGAAACTTGGTCATTTTTGGAATCCAGATCCTCAAGGGATAAAAGAATAAAAGGCTTCCATTTACTGCATGTCACCTTGCTGCACAAATCAAGCATCTAGGGAGCAAACTGACTACAGAGTTACTGTGTTTTCTTGCAGTTTAGCTAAACTGCTGTTTATGCTAGAAGATATTACAATATATTTTATTTGCTTACTTTGTCATGTCAACTCTGTGTAATGAAGTGAGGAGGGTGCATTCATTCGCAATTTATTGCTGCAAGACGTACCAGCACAGTATTGAATTCATCCGACTCTTGTGCTTGGTAAGCTTTACTAAATCAACCTCTAACTTGCCAGCTGAAACATTTCTCAGGAATTGAGTTTGGCCTTCTACTGTAGTACGTGCTAACCGTAGTAAAGTGTTGTGTGCAGCACGTGCTGGAATAGAAAGCACTTTCAGGTTATAATATTTTATATTAGAATCTCATATTGTACAATAATGGTTTAGCGTTGAGAAGAAAAATGCGGTAACAGTTTTTTAGAGTGAATTAGTGTGTTTTGCGTCATTTGGGTTAGAGTTAGGTATATAACCAATATTGCCATTTGCTGAAGAATGGTTTAATAATAAGTCATAAGTTAGGTCAATTTTGAAATAAAAATTTTGTCCCAAGATTTGTGTTTAATCATCTTGGAAAATCCTGAAGTAAAAATACTCTTTTTTTTTTTTTTTTTTTAAATGTTTTAAGCAATTTACTCTTTTCAGAAACAGACTCTGTTGAGATCTTTGCTGAAATAACTTAAAGCTCTTTTGATTTTTAGCTTTACAGCATTTTGTATCAGACCAAAAAATTACCAGTCAGAAAGTACGTTTCCACTGGTAGTCGTGTTTACTTGATATGTAGGTTGTGCTACATGGAACTAGGTTGTGTGCATTCAGTGGAGTTCTGTTGGATGATTTAAATAAAGCTGCTATTTGTGTCACTCTGTTTCTGTCTCTTTGTGTGGAATCTCATGAGCTTTATTAATCCTGTTCTAGGTTCGCTTATACTGTCTATGATAGAAACGGACAGCATGATCGTTTTAGCATGCCTAAAAAGATCAGGTTTGAGACTCAAGGGATTTGGGTTCTGCTCTTTATTCTCCCACAGATTTTCTGTTTATTTCTGGCTAAATAATTTAATCTGGTTTAGTATTTTAAAAATACATACAAGTAAGCAAGTAATGTTAACTTGTAATCATTCAGCGGCACTCCAGAAGTAATTTAATTGAGATTTCTTTGATGTTACACCATGTATGCCAATACTTGTGTCTTTTATGCTGAATTCTTATCCTACAGTAAATTAAAGATATATTATTTGTTTGGTTTTTTTTTTTCTCTTGATGAGGTAACAGTGTCAGAAGATCAGATATCTTGCTTTAGAACTTAAATCAGATTCTTTTTTTTTTTAAGTAAAACTTTGAGCTAACAGTACTTTCGTCCTTGAAAAATGTTGTATCTGTACTGGTTAGAATTCTTTTTGCCTTCAAGTAGTGTTTAAGGTTTCTTGGGTTTTTATTAATGCCCCAAATACCTAGCTATTTTTTTAATAGTTTATGTTGTACCTCTGTGCTGTCTGGCAGTGATTGCTTACCTGGTTGTTGTCACAGGACTTAGGAGATTATAATTTATGGATTTGGGTAAAATGAATCTGTGAGTAAAAAGCCACTATAAAACAAAAAGTCAGTATAAAACCTACATGAAATTTAAATCTTAAATAAACTTTATCTTTTCACTATCATACATTGTCATTCACATTAGCAGTCTTTATCCCATGTACGGGGATGATGTACTTGTAGATTAGCATCTCTTTCAAAAATTTTGAATAGATGAGTATATATTGTGTAGTTCTATTGATTCGTCCAAGATTTCACAAATATTCATTAAAATGAAAGAAAGCAAGTACAATATACAAACAAATCTGGAATCATAATTACCTAACAGACCAGCAAAAATTGGTTGCCATAGGGAAATTGCTTCGTACAAAAATAGAAATATTCTGTGGGGGAAATGTTGGCCACTTTTGTGGTTGCTTACTACTCTGGTATGCCAACTGGAAGTGGCTGGTAGTGAATATGATTGTACTAGGTGTACTTTTCTTGTACTTTCTATTATTATTATCCTAATTCTGCTTTACCATATGGAAGAAATACATCCTTTGTAATGTAGATTTGGAGGAATCATGGAAATGTGGAAATTCCAAACTTTTTAACAGCATTTTTTTGTGGAAATGAAATGTATATTGTGACGTCATGGAAGGATGTTTGAGGTTTAAAAAAAATAAGTTTCTTAAAATGTGTAGTGTGTCAGGATTACACTGTTTATCAGCTTCTTTTTTATTAATCTGATTCTTCCACTTAAATGGAAAAATTAGATTTGCCTTTGGCTTAATTCAGTCTGTTCTATTCACAGAAAGGTTCACTTGCATATTGTGTTACTCCATTAAAAGCATTTCACAAATAGTGCCAGCCAGAATTAATAACAGCTAAGTCTAGCATTTTCAAAGAAATAAAAAAAAAAAGGAGAAAATGGCTCTTTTTGTCGTGCATCAGCATTTTCTATTAAAAAAGAAATAATTGGGGCAATTGTGTATTTAGTGTCAAAATTGTTATTGGCTGAGTAACTTACTTTTCCAAATGTTTCTGGCCCTCTCAATGCTACTGTGGCCCATCTCTGTAGCAGTTCATTGTAGTTCACCTGGATTTATGCATTTATTTGCTTTGGAAAAATGATCCTGTCTGTGGTGAAATATGTGTTTCCCCTTCAAATCTATGTTATCTGATGAAATTAAAATAAAAGCTTTTTAAGAAGTCCATTATAATATCTCAGAAAGACTTAAGACTCAAACTGAAATCTGTCCTCTGCAGGCAAGCAGATTAGCAAGACTAATGGTGGGTGGATGGGCATACTACCTTTTTTTTTTGCCAAGAACCTGCTGGTCCTGTTTCTTCCTCTCCATATGTTGCCCTGTTTTTATAAGCACTGTAGTGATGTTTGGGGCTTCAGCTGACTGCAGGGTGTCATTGTCAGGAGTTCTATACATATACTGAGCAGCAGTCTTGCTCTTGACCATGTTAAAACAGGCAAGGGGAGTGAAAACTCTGAGAAATCATGTGTTGTTCCCAACTTACAGGTATGGAATTTATCCACCAAGAGTTCAGTATCTCTAGCAATCATGGAGTCTGAGGAAAAGCCAACCAACCATCAGAGCAAAGCTTCCTGTGATCTGTGTAGTACCACAGTCATAAAGCCAGTCTTGTGTCATGAAGTGGAGCCAAGCTCTCTCTAGCTTCGGTTTTAGATTCAGCTGTCCCAAGAGTTTTATGTCTTTTTGCAAAATCTACAGGTCTTGGTAGTTTGTGCGATAGGAATATTGTTGTTATGGCTCTAGGGATGGTTTTGTTTGAACTGTAGCCAGTTTCTTGAAAAGAGCTGTGATTTTGAGTGTCCAGCTCTATATTTTAAGGCCAGTTACCAGCTGGGCACTAAAACCATCAAAATGCTTGTTTCTAAACAGCATAAAAATCATAATTATTGATGATAACCAATTTGAAGATTTACAGAAGTGTTTCTGGTAAAGAAACTTTAGTAATTTCTTCAGTAGCAAGGTAAAACAGGGTTTTTTTTAGTTTAGGTGGTATTGATACATGCTTTCTGTAGAAATCATGGGTGTTTGGGTACAACTTCTAGTGATTTAATTTGTTTCTTGAACGAACACAGGCATAATCATGAATTGTAAATAATTTTCTCTCTCTGTAAACAAGTGAGCTGGCGAATCCATTTTTGCTGATACAAAGCTAAATATCCAGGGTTAATGAGAGAATCACAACTAAAACCGTTGAAAAGCATGGTTCCCTTGTCAGCTGATGCAGTTTTCCTTGTCTTTATAAGCCGTTAGGAACTGAATTTTTAAGGAGGGTATCCACAGATACTAAAGATCTTTAGGGGTGGAAGACAATTTATGGCTGGAGGTAGAGAGAGATGCTCAGGTGATTCACAGCTCTGAAGTTAAGCTGGACTCCCTTCATTGCTTTCTGAAGACCTCTGTGTGTGTGTGTGCACATATGCAGGAGTGTATATGTGCTCTGAGGTTAAAACAGACGTTGCTTTTAATATGTGTAACAGTTATAGCAGAATTACTTTATCTTCTGATATTTCAATAAATGAGAGTAACTGTGCAGGTTTTGCACATGATGAATACAGGTAATGCATCTTAAATTTTCCTTTCGTTGAAAGAATCTGGAGACAAGTTGCATTTTAAATGCTGTTCTCTTTTCTGCGTGCCAAAAACGTGTCTAAGTGGTACTTCTCATCTGACTTGCAGAGAAAGTATTTTCATGATTCTGGTCTTCTAAGTCTGTTCTTAAATGGACCATAAGCTCCTACTTTAATTAAATAATATTAAAGTATTTTACCCCATCTCCTTTTAATCAAATCAGAGTTTAAGAAATAATGAGTGTTAGTAATAAAATTAAGTAGTTTTCCTTTTAGTGAAAGAGCAATAGTAAGTTCTGCTTCCTTTTGTGCATAGATCTGGCCTCTTTGCCTATGATGTGATTGCTTTATTTGTCATGAGTGTCCTCATATAATAGTTTGTATTTCATATAGCTAAGAAACAGTTGCCTACTAAGCACTAGTGGTTTAACTGTATCCCATAACTGATTCAACAGTGTTGAATCAATTTTTCTTTGTTTCAGGTGACCAGACTTTAAGAGTTTGGGATGTGAAAGCCCCAGGAGTCAAACTTGTGATACCAGCCCACGAGGCTGAGATCTTGAGCTGTGACTGGTGCAAATATGATGAGGTACAGACCTGTTTGTCCAACTGTTTTCCTAATCGAACCACTCATTAAATAGTGGGGTTTTTTACTGCAGCATTAATGCGTCTTCTCTATATAAAAATGTGTCTGGTTGCTTCGTTGCCCTCATTTGTTACTACATCTTCAGAAGACCATTGTTCCAACAGATAGATGGCCCAAGTAGATCAGAAGTTTTACTTATTCTTTTGTATAGTGGACAGAATAGTCCGTAGTGGAGAAACAGTTTGTATTTCCCTGTTCTCTTTAATTTACACACTGGAGACCTCATTTATGATTTATTCATCTGTATTGTTCAATTTGTCTAACTTTTGTAGCCAACATACGCATCACTGCAGTTTAATAACTAAATTGTCCTGATACGCCTGTGTTTTATCAAATCATCAGAACTTGCTGGTAACTGGTGCAGTTGACTGTAGCTTGAAAGGCTGGGATTTGCGGAACATCCGGCAACCAGTGTTCATCTTGCTTGGTCATACCTATGCTATCAGAAGAGTGAAAGTAAGTTGTATTTTATTCCCTGTTGGCCGCCATTGAATTGTTACACAAATTTTTCTGGAAAGCAGTAATATTTATATTGTCTAATAACTAGGAAATAAACAACAGATGTTGAAGATTTTAGATGCTACAGTGACTGTTCTTGGAAACCTTCAGTTTAGCACTGTAAAATGTTTTGATGTTTAGCAGATTGCTGGGATTTCAAAGAAAAAGATGTCTTCAAAATAGATATATTTCTATGAGGAATGTTCGAGAGCTTGGGACAGGGTTGGGAGTTTTATTTTGGCTAAGTATGGGAAATTCGAGATAGAGCAAATACCTTCACTTACTCATTTTTTAAATGGTGCTATGCTTTTTTCTTTCTATATAAAGGGGCAATATTCACATAAGGCAGAGTATAGAACACATTGTGAATATGTATTTTTGTGTGTACAATGAAAATGTTAATATGTTCAAAGAGATTTTGAAACTTTATGCATGAAAGGCTACAGATGACTATACTGGATCTGTGTACTACTAGATCATCCACTGATAAGAATTTGTTCTAGATGCATGGTGACGTTTTTTTCGTATTAGTCAATGCTTACTTTTTTTGTGTTAGATAATACCTGATCCTTTTAAAGCCTTTCAGAAACAGATATGTTTATTAATATTTTCTAGGAGGTCTGAACCGGCAGAAAAAAATTTTCCTGAGTCAGTATTTTTGATTCACATGCCCTTGGAATTTTTGATGTGTTTCTAACAACTTTAAAAGTTACTGTGCTTAGGTTGTAATTTGTCAGAAAAGCGTGTGACTGGGGGAGTGGCTTCGTATCACAAATCCTGTTTGTGACCAGAAAGCCTGAAAAGCTCCTGCTCCTCGTTATCCCAGCTACCCTTGCCTGCTATCCCTACTGATAGTGGCTTCCAGTCTTTTTTTCTAACTTAATTCCTGCATGACCATGCTCTAATCTGGCTCTCTGGAGTATTCTTCATAGCATAAGAACATTTAGCAGTGGTGTTCCAGGGTTTTTTTCCTTGTTTTTTTAAACAAGATCATTTTGCAACTCAAATTTCACAGCCATTAAGACAGATAAATCAATACAGTGTCAATCAATACAGACTGTCATATTCTTACTCTCTGACACTTAATGGGATCTTTAAAAACAGCTCTGCCACTAGGGAATTCATAGCACATTGTCTTCAGGATAAAACAGAGAAAATGGGTGCAGAATTGTTATTCACCGTAACCTGTGATAGTAGGACTAACGGACACTTGACGAAACTAGTAGAAGATGGCTTTACAAATAGGTGGAAGTATTTCTCTTACACATCAGAAGGTAGACTTCGTGAATTAGCTCTCTGCACAAGAGGTTGCATAGGCAGGCTCTGTCATCAGGCTTGAGGATATCAGCTGGTCAATAAACAGATACTAGAAGAGCTAGACAGGGATAACATCTCTAATTTCTCAACTCTCTGTCATCCTGGCCTGCATTAGAAAGAGCATTGCCAACAGGCTGAGGGAAGTGATCCTTCCCAACTACTCACCACACCAGTGAGACCACCTGTGGAGTGCTGGGTCCAGTTCTCGGCTACCCAGTACAAGGGAGACATGGACATACTGGAGTAAATCCAGCAAAGGGCCACAAAGAAGACTAAGAGACTGGAGCCTCTGTCCTACCAGGGGAGGCTGAGAGAGCTGGGGGAGGATCTTACCACTGTGTATGAATGATTGGGGGAAATAGAGAAGACAAGGCCTGACTCTTCTCAGTGGTGTCTAGTGAGAGGACCAGAGGCGATTGGTACAAAGCAAAATACAGGAGATACCATGTAAACATAAAGCACTGGGCTCAAAGACTGTCGGCCTGCCCATGTGGGGTATCTTTTATATTCTTATACTGTCTCGTCTGAGTTTCCATTTTATGGCCTATCATGTTCCCTGTTTTCTTAAAATGCCTTGGCCAGCAGTAGAACTTTCTTTGCACCAACCTCTGAGATCAGTTCACTAAGTGGCTTTAAGGAGATGATGGGGGGGCTGTATATGCATACATGTGCAAAGGAGAGCTATGTGAGAGTACATGACTTCTATTCCATCTTAGGAGGCTTTCATAGCTTCCATTTCAAGACAGACATGGTCCCTGTGGACATAAGATACGAGAATGTGAGCCAGCACATAGAGATGGTGCAGCGTATCTACCATTGTGTAGTATAACTCACCAGTCATACTAAATGGAGACAGAGGCCAGTATGCTGCCTAAATAGAGGCAGCTGTCCCTACTGATGTTCCTTCCCCTACATTGTGCTGACACTAGCAATTAAAAAGCTGTGCAGCAAGCTGGCTCAGCTGATTGCTCTGACGGAAAATCCTGTCCCTAAAAGTGACTAGTTTCTGTCTGGATCACTAAGCTGTCTCAATTTGTCACTCAACCACACAATTGCAAGCCCTGACACAAAGGAGAGGGGCAGGAGCACACAGCCTGAAGTGGAAAGGAAAGAGAAGGCCGCGAGTCTTGGCAGCAATGCACCCTTAAATTAGCTTAAACTAACCATGAAATCACACTCTAGTTCTCTGTCTTTTGTATTCTCTTCGCTTGTTCAGGGTTATGTTGACTGTCAGATCTGAGGTTGGCAAGGAATTCTACCCAACGTGGTGCTGTCAGGATTCCTGCAGATTTCTTGTGGTCTTTCACTGCAGTACAGGGCATTATTAGCACTGAGGTTGTCTGGAGCCCCTTTCAGGAGATTTCTGACATTGGTGCGTTTGGCTGCCTCGTATTCTTAGCTGGCTTCAATCTCTTATACTGAAATGTAGTTATGATTTTTTGAATTCACCTGAAAATATATTTGGATGAATGATCTATGAAATATTTGAGGTCAGGCTGGGTGATATGTTGGTCTCTGCTGTCTATATGCAACTGCTCAGATGATAAAACTGTACTATCTTACAGATAAGCGGAACAGAATTTTAAAATATTCTCTTCATAGCAGAAAGACATTACGCAAATTCTTTCAACTTACATGTGTAGCACTCTGCTAAGTATTTCGATAGAGTTTGCTTGGGTAAGTTTCTAGGGTACTTAAGGTTAATGACAAAACTTTTCAGCTTTCACAAGATGTTTTTGCCTCATTTGAAACGATGGACAAAGATGCAAAGGGGGCATGTGGAAAATGTGCCATTGTTTTTTGCTGCCCATCAGGCTTCTTCCTCTTTATTATTCATATTCCTGAGGTGCAGAAGAAAAAGATATTTTGTTGTGTGTTTTGGTTTTTTTCCCCCCCTCCAGAGAAATTGTAGGAAATCTGGCGAGGTTAAAGTTCAAGTGTGCACATCCCTCAATTCTGCTATAGTGAAGAAAACTCTGTCAGCAGAGTTCA